CTTTGTATGAGAGTTAAATTAAATTTTAATAAAGACAGAGACATGGTCTCACTATTAATATTCAAAAAAAAAAAAATAAATTCTTTTATAACTAAAGTATTAAACAAGAAAGTTTTCTATATTCAAAGATAGAAAATTTTTATTTTTAATTTTTAGATTATTTTACGTATTTAATTTATTAACCTCTTGATTCAATATTATTAATATTTATATATTAAGTTCTTATTAATTAATCATAATTTGTTATCCAAAATTTTATTGCATACTATACTCTTCTTAATATTGAGAACCTGGATCAAATTCTTTATCATTAGCATTTAAATTTTTTGAAAGTTTTTGTTTTTTAAATTTTTTATCACATATTTGTGAAATATTTATTTCCTCTTCATTTAATCTTTCTTTTTCTAGCTGTTTTTCCTGTAATTTGTGTTTTTCTTGCTGTATCTCTCATTGTTTTTGCTGAGCCACTGTGTCAATTATTATATTATATAAATATTTACCTTTTGTATTACGTTGAACTGTTTTTTCTACCTCCTGTTTATAAATATCATAAATTCGTTCTTTACCAATATTGTAATAGGTGAAAAGTTTATGGAATCCTTCATTATGATTCTGGGTTGTATTTTGAAATAAGAAATGAGTTGTTATATCAGAATAGTTAAACACCTCTAAAAGTTTATGTGTTAATTTCTATAATACATCTTTTCTTGGTTTTAAATTATGATCTGTAGATATAACTAATATATTACTAACAAAGTCAGTTAAGACCAAATCTGTTTGTTCCATCTCTGGCTGTATATATGAGACTTTTTCTTTAACCTCATCTATAGTTCCTAAGCACTTTTCTATATTTTGTTTTACATATTTTATTTCTAAAGATTCAACAGCTTCATCAAATGCTAAATAATAACCTGGCCTTATCATATTTATTAAACATGCATAATCTAATAAAATTTGTAGTTCAGGAACATTTTCTACTTGAGCTAGATAATGAGTAACAGATTCTGAATAATTAAATCGCTCTGCTACTGCAAAAAGAGGGGCAAAAGCTGCCAAGCTATAATATTGCATTTTATGATCTCCACTCTAATTCTAATTTTGTAACAAACCTAATACTCCATCTATGTAAAAAAGCGATACTAAACTTTTACAATATCATTACTTTCAGTTTCAATATTTTTAATGCTTAAATTATTGTTTATTGCATAAGCCATAAAAGCATTACTTACAGCAACCCAAATTAACTCAACTACTCTGCATGTAGCTGCATAATCTACCACTTTTTCAATCTTCTCAAGAAATGAGACCCCTAATTCAGCTGCTAGCTAATAAATACCATAACCTGAAAAATTGCTAATAAAGTATTTAAT